ACTACTAGGAAGACTTACAGGAAGATGCCTGAAATTACCCTACCAGGACTTGGTACACCCCACACCCGATTCCCAAACCAATAGCTCACTTTTACTCGTTAAGGTGTTGCTGAAAATTCTGAGATAAAGAAGCTCAATAGGCAATACTTCTTTTTCTAGGGATTTTTGGAGAGCTCAAAAACTAAGGTTTAACCCTGTGGGAACAAATTAGGGATGAATATATGAGTTTATTTCTCTCTAGGCTGGGCTTCTCTCTTTTTTCTTCCAAATACAACAAACCATTACTCTAGGGTTTCTCTATAGCACCACCTGTATTATTCCTTTAACACAAACTATAAAGAAGAGAGAGAGAGAGAGAGAGAGAGAGAGAAAGAGAGTTGCATGCCTCCGTATGGGTAAAGAAAGGGGGGTAGGTGACTTCAAGTTTCTTGGAGAGAGAGAACAACATGGTGTGAAGAAAAGAGAGAGTAGGCGCGTGAGAGCGAGATAATCTTTATGGGAGGGAGAAATCTTGATATGGGAGATAGAGAAATCTTGTAATGAGAGAGGGGGTTCAAATAGGTTTAAATAAAATGAAATATATCACCTAATTTCAATAGGATTCAATTTAAGTATGTCTTATCCAATTTCCCGCTTGACTTTTAGGATAATTAAGAAATATATAAGGTGAGAGATTCAATCAGAGCCATCCATCTCACAAATCAGCCATCATAATTTTGGGTGGAAAAGATAGGAGCTTTATTCCCTTAGACTTTAACCCAAGTCCAACTCTTATTTAAAAATTGAAATATAATCAATCTTTATCATAAATCTCTCATAAAGATAGGAAACCAAATCTAATTTAAATTATATTTCCCATATTTTAACGTATTTCAAGATTTGAACCAATCAAATATCAAAAAAAGGAGCGTGCCTTCCCTTTTGCTTAAAATGTGGCGTGCCCCTTTTTACAAATCATAAAAATATTTCTAATACTAAAATAAAATATACTAAGAGTGAACTGATACTAATAGGTCAAAATAAGCAACAATAAGGGCACTCCATTCGCTCCAAAAACTATGATCCAGTACTGTCTTCTTCTCCAACCCAACAAGACCCGTGACCCACAGTCTCAAAGTAGGGGCTCATGATTAGCTCATCAAATTTGGATAATAAACAATGGGACTATAGTCCTGGAATGTGGATTTCAGTTCTCCCCTTTAAGAGCAAGTCTAGCACTTGTCACTACAGTGTTAAAGGGCCTCTCTATGCACATGTACACATGTCCCTCTATATGGCTACTTCTCAGTAATGCGGTTGTCATATGTACATGCCGTGCAGAAGTTTGTTGAGGCTTTGGCCTTTGCTCTCACAAGCCCACAACCACACACAGGAGATCACATAGTTCTGCTGGCCTACAAACTTGATCTTTATCCATCTCTCCAACCTCAACAAGGAATGACCCACTGCAAACACTGCTCGGTTGTGCCACATGCCCAATGCTAAGGGTTTTGGATTTGACCAACGTCATAAACCGTCCAACCCTTGGTCAGTCAACACACACACTCTCACCAAAGTACATATTCCACTATAAATATGATTTTTACAAGCTCTCTAAGCCTTTAAAGGCCACAAAACCCAACATATAGATAAATAAGGTACATTCATAATATAAATATACAAATATGTATATGAGGTGCTCCCCTTGCGTTCCCATCATACATGTGATGCATATATAGGAGATCACTCCTAGGCCGCTCTCTGAGCAGTGCGCTAAGGGTAGGGAGTTTCAGCCAAGGGTCAATCCCCGGCTCCCGCACTCGCTCTCGGTCCTAATAACTAAGATTTGGACGATATATCTTCCTCCTCATAACCACAACAATTTGATAGGTTCATGTAGCCCCAGCCTCATCCCCAACATTTTTGTTTTATCCATATTAACTTTCATCCCCTTAAGCAATCTGAAACATCTAAGAAAGAACCATGGATTATTGACCTAATGCTGCAAGTATAGCAAAAGATGATTGTATCATCAACATAAAGGATATGGTTAATCACTTTGCCTCCATTGCACTGTGTGGAAGCCTTCAAGCAACCCAAACTCATAAAGCCTAGAAATGGACAGGGCAAAAACCTCACCAATTAAGGTGGAAAAAGGGCAAAAGGGTGTCTCGTTGGCAAAGGCCCTGGGAAGCATAAATCCCTTCCGGCCCATTGATCAAGATAAAAAAATTGGGGACCCTTCTACAGCCCTTTGTACAGCACCTTCATTTTAAGCCAAAACTCATCTAGGACATCTTCTCTCATCTAGCAAAGACCAATCGACATGGTCATACGCTTTTGCTCAGTCTCTTAATTTGAATGCCCTTCTCGGGGCTCGCATGTGTAGAATGGATGGCCTCATCAGTGAACAAAGCACCATCAAGGATCTATCTGTTGGGGTGAGAGGTAGTCTGGGAATTTGATACCAACTTGTGAGGAACTACCTTGAGCCCAATAGCTAAGACTTTTGTGAGGATCTCACAGAAGGATGGAGAAACCAACTAGTCCGAGGGTCTTGTCTTGGCCTAGATCCGTAACTGCTTGGAGCATCTCATCTAATGGGTATGGTCATTCAAGCTAAACAGTATCTTCAACTTCAACTAATAGAGTCCTAAAAGTTAGGTTTCTCATTCTAAGATGGGGACTTGAACTAGTGGAGAAGCAGTTTGGGAAGTATCAAAAGACGATGTGGTTACCTATTGAGGGTCAGTGAAAGCCTATCCTCCAGCGATACTCTACCTTATGGTATTTCCTCTCAATAACAATTTTATGAAAGAAGCCGCCATCAACCACTTAACCATAGATCTTTGACACCAATTGATTTCTTCTTATTTTAAGGCATCTACAAGAGCTCTTCTGACGTTGGCCCTCTCAAGTAGTTCCTCCTCATTGAGGCCTTTGTGCTATTCCACCCTGTCCAGAGACTGAATGGTGAAGTTTAGGGTCGGAAATTCAGGTTTGAAGTTGCCTAGAAGGTCTTTTTTCATATTTTAATGGAGTTATCAAGAAACTGCAGTTTTTGGGCAAGGTAAAAACCCGCCAATAGTGGACCTAGAAGGAGGGCACCATTGGCCCAAGGGTTTAGAAAAATCTCCCTCTTCCAACCACATCATCTCAAACCTAATTTGTCTATTAGGCCTTGGGACAAGCTGGGCATCCAAAATGATTGGTATATGATCCAAGGTAGATAGAAAGGCAAAAGGAAAATGTCCCCAGGAAAAGGGATTCCCAGTCTGTGGACACCAAAAATCGCTCTAGTTTAGAGAGGATCAAATTCGCAGCATCGTTAGACCATGTGAGTATAGCCCCATTGAGCACGATGTCCATAAGAAAGTTGCAATGGAAAAAGTCTGAGAACTCTCACATTCTAGGGATGATTCTACTGCTTTTATTTTTCTCATGTACCCAAAGGGTTACTTTAAAGTCCCCTCCCAGCTAGGACCAAGTTTATAAGCCTACAAAGGCTAAAGGCTGAAGGCCTTGGCATTTGCAGCCTCAAACGGATGAATTGGGCTCTCATTGGCAAATGGTGGTGGTGCTACATGCACACACGTGCAACAATATTAATTGGGAAGTAACTAGACAAGCAATACATGTGATGCCAAAAGCTCTACAATGCTCAATTGTGGATATTCATAATCATTTTATGAACTCAATGTACAATACTTGGATGAGTGATTGGAAAAGGCTAGCAATCAGCTACCAGAAAACCATAGGATCAGACTAGACAAAAAAAAATGTCAGTGCCACGAGTGCAGATATTAATAGGCCAGTGAAATGTTGTAAAAGTACCCTTTGATTCTCAAAATTACTTTTGCCATGATAGCCATGACAGCAAGACGACATAGGGATATTGCAAGTTTGTGGACAAGAAATCTTGATTCGATTCAAAACAAACCAACAATTGCTCATAGGGATATTGCAAGTTTATGGCCAAGATATCTCAATTGGATTGAAAACAAAGAAGCAACAGTTGTTCACAGACCTAGTTTTGAGGCCCAGTTATATGGCCTGGCAGCAGTTCATCTGAAACCATTTGGGTGAAGCATTTTTTGGTGGGTCATTTTATTCTCCTCTAAGCCAGTAATTCATTTTAAGGAAATTTAATTGATCTGCACATTGTACCTGTATCATATGCATTGATGCATATAGCATGGGGAATACAGTGCTATTTCTTCTAGAAGGAACCTATCTTGTCAATGTGCACAAAGACACTGGTACTACGTTACAGGAAAACTTGAAAACATCATAAAGATCAAGTATGTGCAATGAAAATTGCAATCGGTCAATACACTCATGACTACTTTCAATATATCCTCCTACATATTTAACAAGGTGTCAATAGTTGAGGCTTATCAACTCTCTGGCCCGAGAAAGATTGTTTAGAAGTTCCGTATATGTGAATAAAATATTTTAGAAGTTTCATGTATGTGATATAAGTCATATATCATACATATATTGTCACTAACTTCAATACCAGACAAGATCTTGTTACTATTAACATTTACCATATCACATGACCAGACAGGGGCTGATAATGGCAGTCACATACAAAGTTTTCAACCACAATGGATGCATAGGACTGTACAAAGTTGTCTTAGAAAATTATAGGAATGTATAGTTTCATTTCTAGATAAAAGTCATCTTCATCAGGAAACAATACCTTTCAAAAAAGTTGTTTTTAGGAAAAATGACTGGAAGTAAGTGTAAATATAACCATTTTTCCCATAATATATTTTGATAGGCACACCAATTGCATCAATCTTGTCACTATTAACACTTATCACATAACCAGACAGGGACCCATAATGGCAATCACATACCTTTCAACAAAGTCTTTTTAAGGAAAACCGACTAGAAGGAAGTGTAAATATAACCATTTTTCCCATAATATATGTTGATTGGCACATCAACTGATGCAATCAAAGCAAATAAAATCAAGTAAATGAGTAAATATATCCCCATGTAACAGAACTTACCTCTATGACCAGTGAATAGGTAAACGGCATCATCTGTTTCATCTACATCCACCAAAAAAATTAGAGAATTAATAGTTGACTCTATAAAAATTTAGAAAGACAACCATATGGTTGTCGATAAGCAACCTACATATGGATCTAAAGGACTATAAATCTAAAGAAACTTAGTTTACAGGAAATATTCTCTTACAACACATACCATATGTGACCAGGAATTCACTCTCCAAAAATAGCAATATCCAAATCTTAAAAAAAAATAAAAAAAGCAAAAAGATACAAACTTTACAAATCATAAGTAGAACGAAAAATTCAACATAAAATGAACACAGAAGGCCTCGAAAGAAAAAAGATAGTCAAATGATAATATTATAAGGCATATCAGATAGATTGGGTCAAAAACATATGTCCCACAAGAATTTGCACGCAAGAGCTTATTTTTTGACCTACCACAAGTTTCTCTAGTCAAGATCTAGAAACTGTGCGAGAGAAAATATAGTGTTGATTGATTCAATGTGTATCATGTATGAATAAGGGTAAATGCGGAAAATACATCTCACATACAAAGTACCCACACATTGATAGTCACAAACTTAGTTGCAGATCTGATGCAAAAAGGAAAGCTGGAAATTCAAACCCCGTTTCCTATCCTCAAATAAGCAAAAATCAACAATAAAGACCTGCGGTCATAAATCAAACCAGGAGAACAAGAAGCTCTCTTTCTTCTTTCTTCTTTTCTAAAATAAATTCCAGTCCAAAATAACATAAGCTCCAAATTGAAACGTCCAAGTCTTTTTAATACAAGCACTCCAAGAATAATAAAGTAGATCCCCAGATTTTTTAGGATTTTTCCTATGAGAAGACCAATATGGAAGCAAAGATACCCACCTAAATAACTCGCACCATGAAAAGAATTTAAAGCCCTTTTCTTTCAAGGCCTCTTAAACCTTACCCAAGACATTAAATAAAAATACCCTTCTAGCCCCCAAACCTCTTAAGCCCGATAGCAATAATTCGACACCCAATACATGCCCATGAAATTGATAGATAAAATAAAATGTTAAAATCGTCCTACTCTTGATTTGCATCATACTCCCTTGGTTGGACAAAACTCGTCCTCGAATTTTGAAATGCACTAACATGAATCTTCTACTACATTCAACCTTGTGCGTTGATATTGACGCTTGATCCTCGAACCTATGGATTACATGCCCAATCCTAATATCTTTAAACAACTTGCAAGTTTGGACGCATTCAATTTTAGTAATGTGCATCTGTGGGGTGAAATCCCCTTATTGTAAATAGGAAGAGTCAGCACCACCATTGGTGAGAAAGGGGAGCTCTTTATAGTCTTTGCGGCTAATCTCCTCATCTTTTATCTCATCATCACCATCATCAACATCATTTTCCTTACTAAACCAATTATCCCATTATATTGGGAACAATTTTGTCACTCTCACCTGTTTCTTTGTCAAAAATACGATGACTATCAAAGATATGAGCGCTATCAAAGATAAGACTATCTACTTAGTCAAAGAATATTGAATCCAATTGAAGAATGGATCATTTTTGCTCTTCTTCAAAATTAAGCTCCCATGGATGCCATTGCACAACAAATCCATCCATGTTTTGATGCATCATTGATCCACTCCCACTCAAAATCAAGCTTTGGTTCATGCCAATCTCCATTAAACTCAAACCCTCACAATATGAATCAAATCCCATACGTCCCTCTTCATTTGGGGCATGTTGTTGCTAATCTAGCTCATAGTTACTGGCCGCGGGAGAGGGAACGGCTCCGGTTCCGGGAGTGGGAGCAAGAGCGTCGAATCAAGGGCTGCCTAAAGCTTCTGAGCTCAGGGAGCAAGTTCCGGTGAGGGTAAAAGTTGCAGATCAAGATCCTGTGAACAAGGAGCGCGTTCCCCATACATTGGGATCGATGTCCTTATTTAACGAGAACGCGTTCCATATAAAATGGGATCGTGTTCCCATGCTCATTAGGATCATGCTCCCATAGACAACATGAACGGGATCCCATTTAAAGTTGAGTCGCACCCCATCTAAGAAAAATGCGTTTCTATTTGGAATGGATCGAGCTCCATTCAAGGTTAGATCGCATTCCACTTAACGTGAAGCCAATCTACACCTATCCTCTCTCTCTCGCTCTCTCTCTCGACCAGACATTCACCACCTCTTCACATTCACCACCTCTTCAACCTCCGCACCCCTAATCGAACGGAACCATCTAGCAAAAAGCACCCCTCTCTCTCTAACTTCATAAATGCATTCGTCTGACTTCACAGTGAGTGGACTCTTTCTCTCTTCTCAGAAAGCACAACAGCAACAAAAATCTACATACCTATCTCAACCTCATTGGCTAGCAGTTGGGGACCTCCATGGCGATCTCCAAAAGGCCAAACAAGCTCTGAAAATGGCTAAACTCTTCGATTGAAAACTATTAATTGGATTGCAGGCCACTCCATGGTTGTAAAGCTTCGTGATATCCTTGACAGAGGAGGAGAAGAGTTCATGCTCCTTTATTTTTTAGAAAAACTTAAGCAAGACACAGAGAAATCAAATGGGAAGCTGTTACTTTTATAGGGAAACCATGAAAGCCTAATATACAAGGAGATTTCAGGAATGATATAAAAGTTGGCCTTGACAAATTCAAGAATTCGGGTGACTGGTTTTCTATAGGAATTCCAATGAAAAACCTTTGTAAAGGATTGGAAAAGAAAATTAACACTTTTAATGGAGTACTCAAAAATTACCCATCTAGAATTAGGGCTAGAATAGCTGCTTTGTGTCATGGAGGCCCAATTTCTACGCGTTTTTTAGCTGATAACCCTACTATTTTAATGGTGGGTGGCACTGTTTTTGTTCATGGTGGGAGCGGGGATCTAATTTGTTCGGGAACGCATTCCGTGGGACAATGGGAGCGAGATCCGTGCGGCAGTGGGAGCGAGCTCCGTTGCTAATGGGATCGAGAATCCTAAAAATAGGAACAAGATACCAAAAAGTTGGGAATGGGCTCTGGAAGAGATCCCGGCCACGGAGCGCCGGCGCTGGGTCCAGGAGCGGGAGCGCCACCCTTAGTTGGGTGCTCCCGGTAACTATGATCTAGCTCACACAAGAGTTTAGTAACCCTCTCCGTCAAGTTGTCAATTTTCTTGCATAATCGAATCATATCAGCATTCTTACAACCAAGGCCTCCACGACCAGCCATAAAAGTCTCTAAGCATGCTCTGATACCAATTGATGCATACTTTCTAATCCTCAAACAAGCAAAAATCAATAATAAAGAAGAACTATAGTTGTAAATCAAGCCAAATAGAATAAGAAACTCTCTTTCCTCTTTCATAAAATAAATTTCGATCCAAAATGACATAAGCTCCACATTGAAAAGTCCAACTCTTTTTTAATGCAAGCATAATAAAGATACCACTAACTTTGGACTCCAAAAGATACCTCTCTCT